GTATTCGGTCATGTCACACATGCACATACTAATATCACCACATGCATATACACACACACAGACACATACCTCATGACACACTGACATACATACACATTCATCCATACTTGGGTAAACATACATTAAACACTGCCATACATACATATCATATGCATACTGACACACATACCCCATGCAGGGACACAGCTCCATATGGACACCCTCCACTCCCTACATACTATCTTAAAGCCAGAGATCTCTCTGGAGACTATTTCCTAGACACGGGACAGTATGCCCTTAAGTCTTCAATCATGAGCAGACTCATACTTTAAAAAATAAAAAACAGAAATGAGCAAAGACTGTCAGCTGTATGCACTGGAGACTGAAGGTTTCCAGCTATATGCTCTAGCCAGGAGTGGGTGCTACCCACACAGAGATCCCTTGGAATGCATCACAATTAACATGCAGGCTGAAAGTCTGGGGAGAGTCAGAGCACATGGCCCATGAAGAGTCCAAGGTCTCCACCCCTCCTAGAGCCCTGCTGTCTTCAGCTGTCCAGAGGTTTCCCTTCGCCAGGTTAGTACCTTCTCCTCTGGCCAGCCCTGGGACCAGTTCTATTCCCAGAGAGACACACCATGATGAAGTATCTCTGCTTCATCCTCCAGGTGAACAGGTGTCTCTTGGACCCCTTGGCTGGGTGGTGATAGCACTTTCTCCTACACACATTCTCTAGACTCAGGAGGATCCATGTCTGCCCTCCTACTTTGAGACTTTCCACTCCACGGTTCGCCTTCTCTTTGGCTCTCATCAAAGCACATCACCATGCCTGATCAAACCTCTCTACTCTGCAAGGACAGGGAAAGTCAGCTAGCAAGGAAGTGCAACCCCCATCTAAACACTTGTCTTACTTCAGAGGGATGGAACATGCCCACCTGCCAGTTCTGCCTTCCTGTGCCCATTGAAAGAAACATAGGACAACTTCGCACCGTTTCCCAAACTCTAAATTCTGTTTGCATGCTCCAGTATCATCCTACCAATGCTTGTGTCCGTGCACCAACACCTTCCCAAGCAGCAGAGGAAAGGTCAGCCTGGGAAAGCAGATCCGTGGGCAGCAGAGCATACCAGGTCTGTGCTTTGGAGACAGACGTATCTCGGGCCTCAGAGGGCAATGGCACTGAGGAGCAAGTGCAGAAGATGGCATAAGGAGGGTCAGGTGTCATCTGTCTGTGTTGGGGTTTGGGTGTTCAGACGGCACAGTTTGAATGTAGTAATAGAAGCCCAAGAAGACTTCAATAAGGTTTTAAAACAGAGCAGAAAGTGAGTGTATAAACTTTGGATGCAATGCCAACATCCAGAGCTGGGTGGTGCCTTAGAAACCAGCACCTTCTGCTCACCTTGGGTCACTCTCCAAAGAAGAGTGAGCCTACCTCAGGAAGATGCCTCTCGCTTTCACTGCTCAGGGATGGGGGCTCTCATTCACATTCAAACATGCCACCCAGGCTGCACATCTGAAGACACAGCCATACTTGGGCAAACAGCTGGATTGTCTTCTCCCATGACAGACACCTGCAGCATTCGGAGTGAATGGGTCGAGAGTCTGCCACAACATCTGGCAGGACATGCGGACCCATGCGAATGCCCACACACCTCACCTTCTACCTCTGCTTCTTGGACAAATATCCTCCAAGGGTTTGCATTATCCGGCAGTGTTCCCTGACTCTCAGGAATAAACTTTTGACCTTCATCCTTGAAAGAAAGTCTCATTTCAACCAGAAACCAATTGCCTGACATGATGAGGAGACCCGAGAAGAGCCACAGCTTCTCCATTATGGATAAGCCAGAGGCATGCTGCTTAATGCCCTGTGGTATAAATCCCTCCCAGAGAGCATCAACAGATGACCATGGTAGGGGCCAGCCACAGAGACCATAGGGTCACTTCCCTTAACTGCTAAGTGCAGAGGCAGAGTGAGGTGTGCAGGTGCAGGAGCCAGCCACTAGCTCTACCACTTCTATCCAAGTCACAGCAGCAGAAACGCCCCAACTCCCACGGCCCTCCTGGCAGGGAAACTGCTCTGATGGATACACAGAACCTTTGAGTCATTGAACATTGTTACCCAGAGCACTGGATGGTGGCCCACAGAATAGCAGGGTACCTGTGACTCAGGCATCCTGCATCACACAGGGAAGTAACATTAGAACACAACCCTGGCTGTAGTCCTGATTGCCTGACTCAACAATGGTCACAACAGCCACAGCCACAGGGGTGGCCTCTTCCAGAGAGGGTAACAACTGCCCAACTCGCAGCTTCCACACAGTGGCTCCTCGCACCCCAGTGTGGTCCTCCTGCAAGCAGAAGTTTAAAAACAGAACTTTAAAATGGACCAGACATACTATCAGAAGACAAGAGTCCAGTTCTGCTATTAATTCAAACGGAGCTTAGAGGTTTCTCAGAAAGAAACAACTAGAAAAAGCTAGTCTCTACATACCGCACATGGTATGGTAGGTTAGTGATGGCATTTGCTTAGAAAACCAACTGTAGAGGAAGAGAATTATGCAGATGTTGGTTTCCTCCCTTCAGAAAAATACCATTTGCATGAACACACCTGAGTGGATACGCAAATAATCTAATTATAAAAAAAATGAAACAACAAACATCGTCTAGACAAAGAACTGTAGTGTTCCCACATGCCAAAACTCACAGTGCTGTATGCATTGGTGATGGCTACTCATGTATTGCATGCCTTATGTATACTAGAGATCATCTGCAACCTGGGAGAGTAGGCTTAGCTTGAAGGCAGGAACCATCGGTGAAGCGAGGGTTTGTGGTCAGTGGAGGGCTTCTCACTTAGTAGGCAGGAAGGTGAATCTCGCCACTGCACCTTATTGCTGCACCGTGCCAGGCTCTGACCCAGCTGCCTGCTATTGGCTGAGAACTGCCAAGTCTATAGCTCTGATCAATTCTCCAATGTGGGAGGCACCATCCTAGGCCTCCCCATCCCGAATAACCATAAACAGGCAGGAAAGCTGTCTGGATCCTGCCTTGTGACAAGGCCAGGGGGTCATGGCTATCCTCGGTCTGAGCACAGAGATGTACTCTGTGCCGAGCGCAAGCATGAAGTCTGTGCTCCTCCTCTGGCAGGGAGGCGTACCCGAGGTTCTGAAGGTCAAATGGTTTCAGAATGAATCTCCCCAGAGAAGGGTGTGGGCACGGCTAATTCTCTTTATCATTGTACTTAGTTGGGTTTTCTTTATAATTTAAAACATATTTTCCAATTATATGCGTGATTACAGAGGCGAGCCGAGTTAAATCTGAAAGCCTATGTTGATTGAAGTGCTTAAGTTTCCCGTGAATGGCACAAAATCAAGATCCCATTATGGAGGCTATTGAATGACTCCATGCTTTCCGGTGATTAGGGTAAGTACCGACTGACCACCTCCAAGAAAACTCCAGTGGGTAAGCAAGAAAAGGAGGGAAAGTCTTTAACACACCCGCCTTGAGTAGATGCAGCCAGGGCTGCCCATGTGGCATCCCTGAGAAATGCCATTGGGAAGAAGACCTAGGTCCAAACCTCCAAACTCCGTGCAGTGTTTGTAGAGGAGGATAATCGAGGACCACTGGGTGAGGGCACACCTACCCATAGACACCCGAGAGGCTCATGCCCAGCTTACCCCTGTTCTTTAAAATTGAGTATCACTGGACTAGGGTCTTTTTATTGTGCCCAGCAGCCTCTTTGGTCAGCACAGCTCCACCAAGCTGCTGCCTCCATCTGAAGTCAGAAAGGGTCCCCACTGTTCCAGAAATAATAAGCAACTGGCCCAGTGTCTAAATGAAGAGACCTGGGCGACATTCCTGGCCCATGTATTACACAGACACAATGGCTCCAGGTGTAAAGAAAATATACAACTCACACAACTCTTTAGGGCACAACCCTTTCCAACCCCCTATATCTGCCATTAATAAGAAATTTCCATTACAGGCCAGTGTGAGTAGAAAGCTATAGCTGAGACAGTGCCTGATGTGAGATGTCCTTCTGTATATGTGTTATTTGTATTGGTTGATGAATAAAGTTGTTTCAGCTTTCAGCCAATGGCTTAGCAGAGTAAACCCAGACAGGAAATCCAGAGATACATAGAGAGAGTAGGCAGAGTAAAAGAGATGCCATGTAGCCACCAAAAGAGAAAGATGCCAGAACATTACCAGTAAGCCACAGCCTCGTGGCAATATATAGATTACTAGAAGTGGGTCAGTTTAAGATGTAAGAGCTAGCTAAAAATATGCCTGAGCCGTTGGTCAAACAGCGTTTTAATTAATACAGTTTCTGTGTGATTGAGTCTGGGTGGCCGGGAAACAAAACCACAGTCTCCTTCTATAAGTGCTGGTGTCATGGTCTGTCTTCTCATGGAGATATTTATAGGGTACAGGGGTCCATGGAGATGAATGGCAACTCACACACATGGCTGTGGCACTGAAGGTTCCAATGACAAAGAGAATACCATTCTGGGCTGTGATGTCCATGTTATGGACACCAAGAAGGTCAGCAGGTCCATACTTAAATCCACTATGGTATTAGCTGGCACTTGCTTAGGGGACTGACTTCCTAGAGAAGCCAAGTGAGGTCTCCCTCATGAGAGGGAAAGGAGGGGGAAGCCAGGAAGAAGGGCTGGAAGAGCAAAAAATGGGTGCCAGGCTTAGTTTCCACTCTAGGGAATCAGACGACCCCAAGCAAGTACCTTTGAAATATCCAGCCTGCAGGCTTCTTTAATTCCAGTCTGGGACTGGAGATGCCAAGGGGAGCTTTCACCTGACTTTCAGCAACACAAAACCACAAAGGGGATGCAATCACAGGCTCTACAGAGCCCTATGGGTAACTGGTGACTGTCTTCCTGGTGACTGCCTGTGCTATGACCAACACCCTTCTGCAGACGGATCACGCAGGTGGAGAATCTATATCTTTGCTAACCAGGAGCCGGTTCCCAGCAGCACCCAGAGCAGAGCTCATCCACCATCCTGGAGAACATACCTGGAGCTTTCTCCACGAAAATGACCTTCGAGTCTTGCAGAAAGTTATGGCCAGACAGCACCATCTTCTTGCCACCAATGACTGGGTAGCTGTCCGTGCTCTGCTTCTCCACAAGGGGCAGCTCCTGGGCCGACCGCTGGGCTGTAGCAGAAGAGGTCATAGTTGTAAGCTTTGTCTTTGATGTCTGGAGGAACCCTGGCTGGGATGCTGGGCCCCGTGTGCTGCCATTTGACCTAAGGGACTGACCAAGCCCTGAACTTTGCAGAGGGTCTCAAACCATGTTATGTGGACTACCATAGGTGTGCTGCTCCAATTGGTCAGGAGTATGGTAGCAAACCCATCAGGACATGGTCCACGGTAAGAATGGAACACTGTCTTCAGAACTGCCGGCAATAGGATCGGTGATTCCTAATGCTGGCCCCTGGAGTGGGAGGGCAGTGAGACCCTCACAAGAGCTGGATAGGAAACTCAGTCCTAGTGTTAGACTGAGCCTGGGGGCAGGGGCAAAGTGGAAAGCTTGACAGGTATCTGGGAGGGACCACGTGGAGCACTGGCAGCTTCAGGAGGGCAACAGATGCAAGGGGACTGCAGAGGCCTGGAGAGAGGGTGACATTGCCAACATCTGTGTCAGATGGGTGACCTTACTCCCTTGAGTCAGACAGTTCAGGGCAGGGAAGAGTTCACCTCACAGCCTTAGAAATTTATGTCTCCAGAGGCTTGAGAGAGAAGGGGACAGAGGGCAGAGCCACATGGTTTCAGTGTATGTGACTGTGTGACTGTGGAAGGTCCCACTTGTTCCGGGGGAAGCAGGAATTTGCTGGATACATAGGTGGGCCTGCTCCACAGTCCGGGGACCACTGACAGGGGGGTGTGTAGAATAGGAAGTTGAGCATGGAACCAAAGACCTCACAGAGGGAGTCTCTTGGGAGACAAAGCCAAAAGAGCTGGGGAGGGCAAAACAGTCTGGAGGCACCGAAAATAAGCAGCAAGGGCTGGACAGGACTATGTCTCTCCTCAGAGGGCTGGCTGGTCCCATATGAGTCCAGTTCTCAGCATGCAGGAAAGTAGACAGGATGGGAACTGGCAGGTTTTCAGTGACCAGGCTTGCTAACCAGGGACCAGCCAAGCAGAACACAGGAAGGCAATAGCCATACCTGTTCCTGGTCTGGCGGCCACCGCACATTTTAAAGGCAAAAACTTAGTACCACCAGGGAAGATAATCTTATAGAGATTACAAAATTCAGGTTTGGGACATGGTGTATGGTCTACTGGCAGATCATTGGTTTACCATGCATGGGGCTCTGAGTTCCATCCCCAGAAGTGTGTGCGTGTGTGAGCATGTACACACACACACACACACACACACACACACACACACACACACGGGCTGGGGAGATGGAATAAGTAGAGAATAGAGGAGAAGGAGAATAAGGGAGATGCAGGTAGCAAAGAGATGGGGGAAAAGAGGAACTGGGTAGGAACAGAGAGGAGGAGGAGAACGCAGAAGAGGAAAAGAGAAGAATGGAGAGAAATTGTTTCACTTTGCCCAGTCTGCTGGCTGCCAAAGCCAAGCTTCCTTTTCTCAATTTCCCCCAAATAAAGAGGGAATAAATGCAGATGCAGTCAACATGACTGCTTCATGGCCAACTTTGTTTTTTGACATCTGTAGTTGCCAGGGACAGGAACGCTGCGTACTTTGGTCAGGTACTGACCAGCTTCATATGGGATATGTACCCCAGCCAGACACCCTTATGGTGATGCAGCAGGAGTCCTGTTTCCCAGGAAGTAGGCTGAAGCAGATGAATTATCACTACAGCTCATCCTGCTTCTACTTACAGCACTCGATGGGGTTTGAGGCAACCTGGAGAGACAGCGTGCGGCCATTGGGCTGTGGGATGTGGACGCGGAAGACCAGCCGCACCCTGGTGTTCTTTCTCCCGATGTCTGTCTCCCCTTTCCTCAGCTCGATGTCCGAGTTTCTGAGCTTCAGGATCCCAGCACAGTCAATGCTGCCAGAAACAAAAGCCATGGCTTGTCTTTAAAGTCCAGCGCCGAATATGAGAAGCACCAGCCATCTGGCTGCCAGGCCAAAAGACATAGCCCTCCTAGCCTGTTCATGCTGAGCAGGCCTCTCTGAGAAGCCTATGGAGAAGATTACAGCATCTATGGACGTCAGAGGGTGGGAACGGAGCAGTTATGTAGACTGTCGTCTCCACCTGGGGCCCCTGCAGACCAGACAGTCGCTGTCCCAGACATCCCAGTCACTGCAGAACAGCTCTGAGAGGAAAAGCCTAGAAGGATGTGCCTCCCTGTGTGTCCTGCAGTGCTCC